TGTGAGGGTTGTTAGGATGATTTAAAGATGTCTTTTTCCAATGGTCACGTAGAGATAATGGATTTTATATTAAATAATTTCAGTTTGCTCTTTTCCACAGTGGAAAGGTTTGTTTGTACCACCAAGAAGAACACATACGCTCTCATTAAGTGTTTTATTAATCATTCAAAGAAGTAAACAGTGCATTGGGTTTATTCCTCAATAATCCGACACTAGTAAGCAATAAACAAATAAAAAAAAACTCAAAATGAAGTTGAAGCCCTCCTCACATCCATTTCCTCTTTCATTAGAAAGGTTGTCAGGAAAGAAGTGAAATGGTTGTGCTGGGTTATTTGTGTTGGTAACAGGTTCTTTGACAGCAAACAACCTCCCAGGTGACTAATGTTTGTTCAGTCATTTGTTGATTGCAACTCGCGGCGTACAATCATTGCTTTTGTTGTAGCTTACTGTTTTCTTTCTCCTCTTTCCCCATCTTTAGGTTCTCGTTGCCATCCTGTTGGATGACATGAAATAAGAGCGACTGCTGGATATCTTCTACTTCGACAGTTCGGTTATGATGTGAGGACCAAAAGGGCCGATAATGGGAGCCTCTGTGGGGAAGGAATCAACACGTAGTTTCTAAGGCTCCCGTATGTTTCCAGCCATAATCCTTCAAACCAGCTGTCACTGTTCAGACATGAGGATTTAAGTTAAGTCAGCGTGGACCAATCCGTAAAATGCGCCATCGCTTCGACGACCGACACCATTGATAAGAAGCTTCTACTCATCAACTGTCAGTTTATCAATCGTGCAACATGCGTCCTTCCCTCGCTACAGCGGTCCTTCCGCCCAGGACCCGTTCCCACAATCCACCCAACCTCGCAGTGGGGGGCCGTGAACATCTGTCTGCTCCACGAAGGCGCAGCCCCCACCTCCGGCACACCCTCAGCCCGGAGAACCTGCGAACCTTGGCAGAGAGGGGCGGGGCTTCCGTCGATACTGTCTCTGTTGTCAGCAGTCCTATTGGGCTTCCGCGGGCCAACAGTGACACAGATCTGGTGACCTCCCAAAGCCGGTCTTCGCTAACAGCATCCACTCTGGAGTACACGTTGAACCGGGGCCAGAACCTCGTCATATCCTGGGACATCAAGGAAGAAGTGGATGCTACCGACTGGATCGGGCTGTACCACATTGGTGAGATGATGTTTTTTTTTACATGTAGAGCTGCAATTAAAGGTTCAGTGTGTCTGATCTATTGGCACCTGAAGTTTTCGTTACCTTAGAATGAGATGTTTTTTTCTACAGAATCCACCACGTCGAACCGACATGTTTCCACACTAGCACGAAATGGACAAATCAAACACTAGATAAGGACTTTTTTCGTGGCCACCGTAGTTTCTCCTTCATGCTTTGAAGGCGAGGGTGAGGTGACTAAATCCTAAGCACTGGACCTTTAATTTTTCTAGTGTAGGTCAAGTTCAAATCTCAAGTCCAAGTCAAGTCTCAAGTCCTTGGGGACAGGTTTAAGTCACAGGTCTTCAGAAGCAAATGAGAAGAAATTATTTCTTTCAAAGCTGTGTTGATAGTGTTCATTGCATAACTGAAGTCCATGCATAGTCCTAATAATAAATATGCAAGGTATGCAGCTATGCAAGGCTGGCCTGTTGCTGTGCTAATCATTTTTTGATGTTCTGGGGCTTTAATAGATCAGAGTTTGAAACTTGAATGTTTTTGCCTTCAGTCCTGTCCAAAGTCAGGTCTCAACTAAAGGCCCTAGAGCAATTGCTGGAACAGCAATTTTCGGGTTCGTTGCACATCACATTGTGCGAGAGTCTTAATAAAATGTATTGGTCGCATTACGTGTCTGCATGTAGAATATATATTTGGGTTTCAGATGTTTGATAAATGCCAAGTGAATTGTGGCATTATAAATATGCAAGCTGAAACACATTAACCTTCCCAACACTGGAAATCACACATAGGTCAACCGTCTAGCTTCTTTCAACCGTATGACATAGTTTTCATTCAGCGAATACTTCTACTCTATTTCTCGGTATAAAATTATCCAGATCTTTCTCACATGAGCACGTAGAGCAAGTACACTAGAGACTCCCTGCCAGCTGGCTGCGGCCCTCTGCTAATTAACTAAAATGATTTAATTGTCCGGCTCTTCTAGACTTTCCAAATGGATCAAATTCTGACAGTGAAACAAGTCATTTTGCAGAGGTTGTGATGCGTGGTCACAAATATCCACTGTTTTACTGCCGCTTCTTAGATGGATGTAAGCTAATAGGAAAAAGTATTTTGGATGCATCAAGTGATGGACGCCATTGCTGCAGTTACATGGTTTAGCCATGGATCATATTGTCTGACGTTGTTCCTGGGGGTTTGTTCATAGCAGCAATCACATTCTGAGAATCTGATTCGGAAATTCTCAACACTGTTTACGGTTGCCAAAGCTCAAAATCAGCTGTTGGTGGACATGTTGACCACAAGTTTTTTCATAACATTTTCACCATATTCTTACATGATTATCAACAAATCTGATTGTTAATAACTCATACTGTATATCATAATAGAGATCAGAATTAGCAGAACAAAAACAAAAGATACAGAATACATTAATGATTTTCTCTGTCTGCCTCTCTATACTGTTATTTGTGCTTTTCCCTAAAACCTTTTTGCTGAACTATTTGGGAAACTTGCAAGCATCCAGAACCTTGACCCTACATGTCCTCGAAGCCTTTCAGCTGATCCGAGTGTTTTGTTATTGTGAGCTGAGAATAGCCAGCTAGAGTCTTGTGTAGGAGCTTCCAACTCTGAGTCAATACTGCAACAAGAGACTTTGAGACTTTACACAGGACTGGAGGCTGACTCAACATGTCAACAGCTCTGCCTCGGTATACAATAACATACACACCATCACAAAGCGTGCGCGTCTCTGAGGCAAGTGGGGTGGTCTTCAATAATGTGCGCTAATCCTGCTTAGAGACAGGAATTTGACAGGGGGGAAATACATTGACCTGTGTGCTGAAGAAGGCATATCTGTCCATCCTGGTGAAAAGTAATACAGGAGCAATAGTGAACAACCAGCACATTTGTTATTAAGAACCTATGAATTCTACGCTGTTTTGCTCACATAATGAAGAGCTGAAGTCACCTCTGTGCTATAGCCTCTGCTCCACTAGCTTTTATAACTCAGAGACTCTTTTTTAACATTTCTTTAATTTCAGAGAAAATGAAATGTGTTCTTGTGGTGCACTCTCCATAGTCGAAGACAAATGAAACTCTACAGACTTTTCCTCTAGGAGTTAAACGATTTATTTGTTAGCATACAAAAACTACATTTCCCATGGAAATGTTGCCAGAATGGTAGAGCATTGCATATCATAGCTATAATAGCTGTTTTAGCTTAGACTGCTATCCCGAAAACCAAACTGTCAAGCTGTTGACGTTCAGCCCTTAATGGTCTAGGGCTTATTGGAAATGGTGTTTGTTAAATGCCACAAAAAAATAAATTTTTGTAAAAGGTGCTCCAATTATACACCTAAAGGTCAGTTTACTCATCGCGAGGAGCACAACTCATCCTGTAAGAACTGTTGCATAAGGTCTTCTGTGGCTCCAGAGAAGTCTGAGAAAATGAAGATGTCATCAGGGTCTCAATTCAGCCCAGTCTCACGTAGATCGCAGATCCACTGGAGGATACTGTGTCAGTGTCACGTCTCCTAAATGTGAAAAGTACACGAGTGTATGTGCAGCACCAGCAGTAGTATAAAGAGAGACAAAGTGTGCATTTGGGAGGAGGTTTGGGAGGATGGATGGCTTTTACCCAGGAGACCGCTGTTTGAGTCTGGTGTGAAACCAAAAGTCAATCTTTTCCTTTCCTAAACGTAACCAAGTTGTTTTTGGTGATTAAACCCAACGAAACTGCAACCTCAGGCAAGCTTTATTTTGAAAGTGTGACCAGGTGTTGCATA